TTTTTTTTTTTTTTTTTTATTTTTATATCATATATTTTGGATATAGATAGATGTATAGAGAGATTTTAAGCGATGTTATCGTTATCGGTTGTAATTATCTATAAAGCTAAAAGTATAGCTTGAGTGGACTCAAAAATCAACATTTCAATCGTAATTCCAGTGAACGATAAAATTCTACTGATTAATTAAAAAAATATCGAAAATCTATACAAGCAATAACATGGTAATTGACGGCTCGACGGACGGCTACAGATAATTATTGATTTTATTCTCATAAACATTTGTATTTTATACGAAGAGATAAACAGTCAGTTTTTATTTATTTATTGTCCAGCTAAAAGTATTTGCTTTGAGCTTAAATTTATCGAGATGGTGATTGATTTATTGATAGTAAATTGAATATTTTTGTTTTTGTTTGAATTTTTATACTATCAGGTATTTACAATTCGGAGAATGTTAATAACTGTAAATTATAACACATAAATAAAAAAAAAAAATAACACAATTTTTTTATGTGATTAGAAATTTTTTTTTTTTTTATAGATTGTTAATAAATACTATCAACCTTACAGTCACTATATGACTATCGTGACTTGTGAACTATAAATATACAAAAAATTTGCTTCATTACATGTGGGTACTCAAATGAAAGTTCTTGATGAATGTAACATCGGGATGAGCTTATATCTTTAAAAATGTCAATAATTCACAAGATACAAGGTAAATCTAAATTCTAAATTATGTATCTAGAGATAGAGTATTTACGAACGCAGTCTAAATATTTCATAATAAATTGACTATCGGTGAGAATGACATGAAACCTTGAAAAGACACAAATTTAAGCCAAGACCTTTGCAATGAGACTAAATTTCACTAAAAAAAAAACCGATTTTATCATATGACTATCCTGGATACAAAATTTTTCTTATTCTCTTAATAATATAGATTATGACAAAAAAAAAAAAATAACATGTAAAAATTTTAAATAATTAAAAAAATAATTTTTTGGAACAAATTTATTTGTTAAAAAAATTTTCAAATGACTGTTAACTTTAATATCATAAAAAAAATATTTATTAATAAAAAATATTTCTATTATTAGGACCAACGATAGAATTACCAGTAAAAGTAACAGGAAATATTCACAGTGGATTTACCGCTGAATTTACACCTCGCGATGTTGGTGTTCATTCAATAAGCGTTGAGTACAATGGTCACCCAGTAAACGGGACTCCGTTTCTAGCAAAGGCATTTAATGCTGATAAAGTATTAATCGGGCCAGTTGCTAGAGGAAGCGTCGGTCAACCAACGCATTTTACTGGTACTCTTTCACATTTAATATAATTAAAACAATTATCGCCGCTTATAATCGCGGCATTAACTATATTAATTTTTAATTATTGTTATTGTAATTATAAGTATAAATTTATAGATAATGATAAAGAATAAAAAACTTTCAGTGGACGCGAGTCAAGCAGGCGAAGGTAATCTTGAGATAACGATATCAGCTCGGGGGCAAAACATACCCACGCAAGTAACTCCCCAGGGCAACGCACGTTTCTCTGTGAGCTTCGTGCCATTCGAGGCGTGCGAACACGTGATAAACATCGCGTTCAACAAACGAACCGTCCCCGGGTGCCCGATAGTCACCCGGGTCGGTGGGGACAGCCATGTCACTGTAAGTGGTCAGGCATTGAGTAGCGCTGGCTTGGGACGTCAGAGTCATCTGACTGTCAGCAATGTTGCCGGTAGCTTGGAAGACTTAGAAGTTAACGTTGAAGGTATTTATTAGAATTTCCAGTCTATGTAATTAAAAAAAAAATTTTTTTTCAAAAAAATCATCTATAAAATCACCGTCAACTCGCACTGCGTCAAGTTTTTATTCACCTGCACAATGGGAATAATTAATTGTGTTAATATTAAATGTTTAAAATTTCAGTTTTTTTTTTTCATGAACAATTTATATAATTATTGTACAATTAATGTGTTATACGAGAATGTATAAAACCAAGGATATTGTTACTTGCTGACTCGAGAGATTTTGTCTCTCTGTTCCAGGTCGGCCAGCTTTCAGACTACGACACTACTAGACTTATTTCTTCTTATGCTTATACTTATACTTATACTTATACTTATTATTATTATTATTATTATTATTATTTTAATTTACTACTCGCAGCAACTTTTAAGAGGTTTCTTAACTTTGAGCTAATTAACAAAAGTATAAGATTATGAAGACTAATCATTGGTGGCGGGTAGCTGAGTAATTGACAGTAATTGACATTAATGCTATGCATCCTCGCAATAATTATAATCTCTAATAATAAATTAACGCTTACGGTCCAGTTGGGCCAGAACAAGGTGCTATAATATCCTAAGTCTTAGAATAATTGGTAATAATAAATAAAATTGTGCCAACGTGGTTAACTCACATGCCACAGTGTAAAGTTACCGGTCAGGTGCATTGATGTCTAATATCTAACTCGTAATTTTTAGAGTAGTTAATTCTTTCTAGGGCCTTAAGCTTTTAATTGAGTAAATAATAGGTTTGATATTTAAATAATTAATGTAATTAATAATGCTTGTGAGCGATTAATGGCCGGTGGATGATAAATCCTTCCCTGTACATTGAATGGCTATAAAATATTGTAATACGACTAACAAGCGGACTTGATAGGACCCAATGGACAGGCCGTACCAGCGCAAGTCACCGACAACAAAGACACAACTTGCACTGTTGCATTTACGCCTCGCGTTGTCGGTGAGCACAGAATAGCTGTGAGCCATCGTAATATTCCAGTTGTTGGTAGTCCGTTTAGTTGTAAAGTTTACGATGTCACGGCTATCAAGGTCAAGGATGCCAAGAGAGGAGTTATTGGAATGCCAGTTACATTTTTAGGTATTTATTATTTTTATATATTTATTCATTTTATTATTTACTAGCAACTTTGCAGTCACTATGTGACTGCCGTGACTTGTAAACTATAAATAAAAAACATTTTGCTTTATTAAATAATGACTTTTGTTAAATTGCACTGAATTTTCTTAACTATTGACGTTTTTTAAAGATATAAGTTCATCCCGATGTTACACTCATTAAGAGCTTTCATTTGAGTACCCACATGCATTTTTATATATCGCACGCCTCATAGCGCGAAGCGCGTGAGGTTGTGCTTTATACTCGACTCGTCAAGGTCAAGCAATTTTGGACAGAATCTAGAAGGAAGAAATAACATCTTAGCCACCAGAAGGAAGAGCGGCAGCTAATTCCTCCCCCCGCGAAGAAATGCCTGACGGCGGTACCATGGGGGATCAGAGGATAGAAGAGAAAGGGGTTTAGGGTTCAGTGGGTAGGGGCGTCAGCGTCAAGTTTTAGTATGACGCTGCGTCGAGTCGCCACATATCCAGGCTAAACATCTATGCCTAGAATCCGTAAAAAGGATTCCCCTCCCCTAAAAGGAAAAAAAAAACACACACACACACAAACACACACATACAGACGTACGGACATCTACGAAAACTCGATTTTTGTAAAACGGGGTGAAAACAATAACTTCCCGATTTTTGAAAATCTGAGATTTTTAGCGGGAAGTTAAAAATTTGACTTTGTTCCTTGAACATTTTAGAATATATTAATAATTTTTTCAAACATCTTCGAAAACGTTAAATTGATGAAAAAAAATTTCTTAAAAAAATTCATCACTTGACCTAAGTCGTTAGGTCGCGTTTGTTGACCAGTCTATGGTTAATGCAAATAATAATAAATAAAATAATTAATGACTCAACATCATATCTAGTTATTATTCACTAAGACGATGATTTCCCCATAGCATTCTTGACTCTCAAAAAAGCTGTTTCGAGGGACAGCGGTTTCGAGTGGCTTACATTTCTGGCTTAGAGCTAGAAGTAGTCGCTGCAGTAGCGCTGGTAAAGGCTGATGTCACGTTCACATCATCCGGAGCCAAAGCTAAGCGATTAACAGCACGTTTTCTTTGTCTTTATCATCGCACTTCTGTTTAGTGCTTCTAGTTTGTTCTTTGCTATAATTCCGCCATAGTTTCTCAAAAGCTTTTTACTTTTTCCTTCACAGGTAGCATCGCATAAGGACAAAATAGCGAAAAATCCTTTAATTTGCGAGTAGTTTTAGCTACAACTTTATCGTCAAAGTCTTTTGGTGAAATTAGATGCATTTTGCTACAAATATTATTTTCGTGCATCGAGGCTTTGGTTAAAAGAATGTTTTCTTCTTCATTGACAAAAACATCGTCTTCTGAAGAAATAAACATTTTTTTGATGTTTTCTTATTTTTTTTTTCAACGAAACCAAACGGCGCGGTCTAACAGCGAAACGAAAATCCATTTTGAACTTCAGAATTAAATTAATTATTAGCAAATTTTTAGTTTTATTTCAGCAAAAAAATTTAATCGATACTCCAATAAATATTTATAAATAAAACTTATCACTATTGCACTGATGAGTAGTAATTAAATTTTATAATAAAAAAATGAATTAAAAATATAGACAGTTTTGATAATTATTGGTAGACTTTTTTTTTTCATTTTCATTCCTCGAGGCATGAACCGAGGAGGAAATCTGAAGAGAACGGCTAAAAAGCGCTCGTCTCCGAAGGAAGTTTTCGGATCTGGTGGAACAGCTGATATAGATAGCGATATAGTTAAAAAATACTCTGTAAAAAATTACTGAATTAATATCAATTTTTTGTTTAATCAATTACACAATTTATGCCATAATAAAATTGAGATGAAATGTATGTGAAACCAATTTATTCGTGATGTGATTGGTCGAAAATAAATATTCTCATTCTGATTGGTTGAAAGTGAATATAATATACATAAACGACACATAAATATATCATGACAATAAATATGACGCGCGCGCTTGCGCGCGAAAATTAAATTCTAGTCCCATAATAAAATTGAGATGAAATGTATGTGAAATCAATCTATTCGTGATGTGATTGGTTGAAAATAAATATTCTCATTCTGATTGGTTGAAAGTTAATATAATATACATAAACGACACATAAATATATCATGACAACAAATATGACGCGCGCGCTTGCGCGCGAAAATTAAATTCTAGTCCTAATATAAAATAGAGATGAAATGTATGTGGCATCAAACTATTCGTAACGTGATTGGTTGAATATATCATAAGCATGAAAATATATGCAAACTCTACAGTCAAGGCGCGCGCTTGCGCGCGTAAATTCAAATTCTAGTTTTTCTCTTAAAAAATGAATGAGAGTTATGAGGCGTGCACTTTTGGATTTTCCAAACTTTTTATAATTAAGCTTGAATAATTAAACACTTGATATTTTTTTATCGAGTATTTGTGAATATTAATGATTGATTTTTTGTCAGTTCAATAAATTAATAACTTTTTATCTTAAAAGATATATTACTTTTTATGTAAGCATCTGGAATAGACTGACAGGAATATAATTATAGAAAGTAAATGATCTAAAAATTTAAATACCTTGAATAATTTGATGGATTTTATATTCAAGTTTGATTTACATATCATATGGATATAAATTATTTTTAGAATAAATTAACACATTTCTTCTAGTAATAGTAATGCTTACAATAATTTGTATTAAGAATTTCAGCTTATTGCACACCTCATAAACGAAGCGAATGAGATTGTGCTCTACACTCGCCTTACAAAAATCAAAAATCAAGCGATTTCTTGAACTAAAATTGTCTCTATTTATTTTCTACCGCACTTGTAGAACAATATTTACACATAAATGTAATGGAAAAACTCTAGTTTCATCACTTGTGACATTTTGCTTTTTAAATAAATAAAAAAAATGTTTAACAAAATTATTCCGTGGACGTCCGGCTGTCAAATGTATGTATGAAAACCGGCGTGGTCACGATAACTGCCGAAAAACTTAATTGATCAAGTCCATTTTTTTTATACGCTTCAGTATGATTTAAAACTAAGTCCTTTCGAAGATCACGGTCGAATTCAATGTAGTTTATTTATAATTAGCAATAAACTAAAAATCCACTAATCGGTTGTATATCCATATTTATGTAAATGAGGTTCGTTTACAATACATGCGTAGTACCTTCTCTTTTCTGGGTGTACAATAACGTGAAAGATTTTTTTGTATTTTATTTTAATCAATTTTATAATGGAAAATGAGATTATGAGGCATGCACTTTTGGATTTTCCAAACTTTTTATTTTTTATTTCACACATTCATGATTTTGTCTTCATCATTGTCGCTGAACTTATCTTCGCTGGAAGTATATACTGATTTCTTCAATAAAAAGGACCTATCAGCATCTTTTCTCGGGTTTAAGTTTATTAAAAATATTAATTACTATTTTATACTATTATTTTACAAATTAAAGAAGAAATAAGAAGTGTGCTTGTAAAATATAATTTTTTTTTTTTTTTATAAAAATTATCAGAGTATAATTATTATTAATTAAAAAATTTCTTAAGATATTTTATATCTTCAAATAGTATTAAAGTTAAAGTTTTATAAAAAAGTGTTAAAATTAGATATAAATATTTTACATTTGTTAATATATACATTAAAATAATAAAAATATCAGAAAGAAATAACATAAATAATTGAATTAAGAAATTGACCTAGATGCAATAATAATTCAAAAATTTAGTGAATGAACTAATTTCGTGTTAACATACTTCCCTTGACTTGAATAAAAAATACCGATTAAAAAATACATGTTGTTTGAAGGTCGCCTTAATAAAGAAACCAAACAGTGTCGCAGCCGAATTTCTGACATGCTGTGTATTGAGCTGCTGATAACACCATAATTATTAAAATATTTGTGACTATTAAGCAAGCTATGTGACCGAGTTAATTTACATGTAGACATCTTGATGCAGTATTGACACGATAGTTTTAATAAGTTGCTAAATGATATTTGTTCAAGTGTCAGGCTACCGTATCGACAATCTTAAATGATGGACTGATAATTCATAGAAGTCGGATATAAAATACCTGGCAATTGATAGTTGGACACACTTGAAGTGATTTTGCCGAACTGAACTCTTCACTGGTAACACAAGATGATTGGTTTAAAGTTGTCATTTTTTATTCTTGCGATCTACGTCGTAAGCCAGGTAAATTATTATTATTTTAATTATTATTGTTTTTTTTTCTTCTTTTTTTTTCAATTGTTTCTATTCTTCAAAGGTGTTAATTAATTTAATCAATTTCTTATAGGTTCTGTGCCAGGGTCCGACCCCTATGACACCGGCCCCTGTGTCAGGTACGGGAGATATGACTACAACCCCAAAGCCAAACACAAGCACGAAGAAACCTTTGACTATTGCTGATCACATTTACGCAATCGCAGAAGAAGTAATTGACAAAATTTTTTTAATATTAAATAAGTACTTGTAAAAATATATAAATTCAACTAATTATTCCATTTATTTACAGCTTTTGGGCTGCGAGGAATATGATGATGATGATGATGATGATGATGATGACGATGACGATTACGATGATTACTCCTGGTGTTGGTATTAACATCATAAAACAGCGCAATGGGATCCAAGATCTAATCATCAAGTAATTTATTATCATCTTCATTATTTTTATTTTTAAAATAATTTAATACTTACCATTATTGCTAGTGATCATTATATAATTAAATTACGATTTGTTCGGTAGGCTTTTGGCCTTCTCATCAATTATTTACATCAGCGAATTCTTAAAAATTTGTAAAATTAAGTTAATAAATCTAAGTGCTTGAAAACGTAAAAGTGCCTCGCCAAGGCGTTAAATTGTATCGTCTCTCCTGTGAGAAAAAAAAAATGTAAAAATTTTATTATTGTAAAAATAAATATTGATAATAAACAATTTTTTATTACTTCAGATGAGGGTGTGCTCCATTCACTGTAATTATCCTGAATATTTTCCTCTCGAGTATCTTGATAATTTAATTTTGAAGGTCTGTAGCTTTCGTAAACGGCAATTAAGAAGTCTGGTATCAGGCATATGGGGACAATTAAAATTGTCAATAACCAGAATGTCGGAGAAGACATTAATTCGACAAATACTCCAAACATTTGACTACTGAATTGTCTGTATTAAAAAAATAAATAAAAAAAATGTTTATTACTATTTTAATTGTTTATGAATTAATGGTGAACTAGCAACCTTGCAGTCACTATGTGACTGCCGTGACTTGTAAATTATAAATAAATAAAATTTTGCTTTATTAAATAATTTGCACTGTACTTTCTTAAAGATTGATGGTTTTAAAGATATAAGCTCATCCCGATGTTACACTCATCAAGAGCTTTCATTTGAGTACCCACATGGATTTTGACATATTTTTCATACATACATATATATAATATATGAAAAATTGATGTGGGTACTCAAATGAAAGGTCTCTATGAGTGTAACATCGGGATGAGCTTATATCTTTAAAAATGTCAATAGATCTCAAGATACAAGGTCACTTCTTAATTATGTATCTAAAGATATGAAATTTTCGAATGCAGCCTAAATACTTATCATAATAAATTGACTATTGGTGAGAATGATATGAAACCTTGAAAAGGCACAAATTAAAGTCAATACCTTTACAGTGACACTAAATTTCACTATAAAAACCGATTCTATCATATGACTATCCTGAAGACAAATTTTTTCTTATTCTCTCAATAATATAGATAATTATTAACTTACATATTGATTGAAGAGTACGCAGTAGCAATTATGAAAAAAAATAATTCAGATATAATTACGCTCATTACAAATGGAAATGTCCAATATAAATTTCTAAATAATAACTGAAATAAAAAGCCATGATTATTAATTGAATAAATTAATTTTTAGAGAGCAATTACCTCTAAATTAGTGACTAGTGTAACTAGATGAAAAATACATGTATTGAAACATGCAAAATCAGCCATTGTAGGATTACTTAAAATTATTGGATTTATATTAAAATATGTATAAGTTCCAAAATATATTACACTTGTATGCCACAATGCTGAAAAATAAAAAAATTATTAATTACAAATTATAATAATAATAAAAATAATAAAAACAATAACATACCCAGTAACATCCAAATAATTATTTGATTAATTGATAATAATCTATTTTTTTTATTTAAAGTATAATACTGCGGATAATTAATTAATTTACTAGCTGAATAATCTTGCGCAAGTAAACCAAATGCAAGTACTGGCGTTGAAGTAAATACAATATTAAATCCCATCAAAAAAACACTGTCATATAATGCCTGAAAAAATAAATTAATAATTAATTAATCAAAGGCTAAAACAAAAAATAAATTTCTAGATTATAAAAATACCTGAGAAGAAAATCCATTTGACAGACCAAAAAAAACTTGAGGCGTGATAAAAACAACGTTTTTATAGAAGAAATACTGAGTTAATATACTCAGTCTTACATAATACCAATGACCGTGAATCAGCAACGTGCGTTTTAAATACATAAATTTAGCGAGAGCAAAGTCAGCGTTCATTGAAGCTTGTCTGCCTTCTTTGCCCATAATTCCAATACCCACGTGCGCCTCTTGGATCATCGATACGTCGTTGCCGCCGTCGCCGATAGCCGCTGTCAGAGGGTGTCTCTTTGAACTTTTTATCAACTGCACAATCTGAAATCGAACATTCAATAGTCAATAGACAAAGAATAAATCAAGACTTTTACATTATTAAATCATATCATTAATGATTAATTGAGCAAGTAATTGATACTAAGGTCATGTGTCACGGAAAATAAAATATTCTTACTTCTGACTTTTGCAACGGCGACATACGGCAGCATACCACTGCGTCGCAAGACATTCCGACTATTCTCAATAATTCGGGGCAATGATTGTAAGCTATTGCCATGCTCACACCGTCCATTATTAATCCATACTGTTTATAGGGCTCTAATTTCATTCTTCGCCTAGAAAAATTTTTATTTAATTTTATAAACATAATACAATAATTTTATTTTTATAACTACTGACTAGCAACCTTGCAGTCACTATGTGATTACCGTGGCTTGTGAACTATAAATAAATAAAATTTTACTTTATTAAATAATGACTTGTTAAATTGCACTGTACTTTCTTAACTATTGACGTTTTTAAAGATATAAGCTCATCCCGATGTTACACTCATCAAGAGCTTTCAGTTGAGTGCCCACATGCATTTTTGATATATTTTTCATACATACATATATATAAATATATGAAAAATTGATGTAGGTACTCAAATGAAAGCTATTGATGAGTGTAACATCGG